GAGTCCTTGTGCTTACTTCTTTTCAAGAAGTGTTAAACTGTTAAACGTGTCTCAACTTTAACGCGTTGACGATATCGCGCGTTTTGTGCTTTTTGCACCACGTGGACCAAGAACGATTTCACGAGCGTCGCATGCATAGATTGCAGCGTCAAATGCATAGATTTTGAGCTGTTAATACGGAATACTTGAATGCGGTTGAAGTGCTCTCAATAGTGTTCGATCTGTCTACTGTATCGGGAGCTACAGTAATGGGAGTTCGGGTTCCTGTGTTGATTTGGACGTGATTGTTTCAGTGGAAACACATATCTTCCCATACGAATAGGTTTGTATTCGCTTCTATATTATTCCTTTTTATCAACATGTTTACGTTAATGAAAAGAAAACGAGGAATGAACTGAACAGACATATCCGTAAGGTCTGGAAAACCTCTGCCAAACTAAAGAATATTTGGCCTTTCTGTGAGCCATGTGGTTTTTAAGTATGCTAATGTATGGCCTATAGAATGAGTACAAAGACCTTAGGAATAAGTCGCACAAGCGCAAGAAAAAGGGATGACTTGGGTGGGACGCGTTACCGCGTCACAATGTCCCACGAGGTGCGCAAAGTGGGACGCGTTACCGCGTCACGCTGTCGTCAACGTGTTAAAGGTTACATGCTTATGAATTTGACGCTGAAGACTGCGTTTCTTGTTGAATGGTGTACTCCTCCCTGTAATTTCACATGAACCCTTTCAGAATCCTCTTGATTTTCCTGAATTGAGATTCTTCTCCAGAGAGCCGTAGTTGAAGCGCGCGCAACAACTGGGCCCACTCTGGGATGCTTCACATCCCTTCAGATTCGAGGGCTCGCTCGAAAGATAAGATATTCCTTCGGAAAGCGTTTTTCTTTTCTCCTCTTTTTCTTCTCTTCTCCAAATTTCGGACTCTTCAACTTTGTGGTGATAAAACACTGAAGTAACTAAGAATTGCTAAGCGGACACCTCTGAATCACGAAGATTTTGTGTGGGCGGAATCAATTGTTATTGGAAATCCTCTGGCCTGGCATCGATCGATTCGATCCTTGATGTTTGTCCTCCGACGATGATCCTACTGCATCAATCCGGCCCGATCTCTTCCCCCAGCGGGCCAATACGACCCCCCCCCCCTGTGACGTGTCGAGGATTCCTCAACGCACGCTTGACCCTGGAGTGTAGAACAAGAAATCGTATCAAGAAAGTGGAAAAAGTAGAGAGCCGACGTGCTCCATCGATGACTCAAACAGGCAGGGTTAAACACGGTGCGGCGAATAAACTGACTAAACTGATAAACTGATCAGACCATCTACAATATGAAGAGAATATTATATTTTGCACTTTCTAGGGGGCATTGAACTTGTATTGTATGATGAGATTTCGCTTACACCCAAAAATAACGCAGGAAATTTGCCGACGTGCGAGTTTTTGCCCCTTTGGAAAGAATGTCTCCCTCTAAAACAGTCTATAGCTAAAGTAAAGGGCTCTCGGAACAAAAAAGAGTTGTTTTTTTCAAGCTTGTAGGTGGGGATAATCCAAATATGGACTTCGGCGAAAAACTGTCCACGTAACGCAGAGTTATTCCTTTTCGAGTTTCTCACGATGAGGGACCGTAAAGGGAGATAATTTCGTGAAATTAACAAATAATCAAGAGCCGCGACGTTCCTTATGAGTAACTTTCTGTACGGCACTTCAGAAGATTACTTCAGCAAATCTTATTTTACTGATAGTCGATATGGTGTGAAGAAGCATAAAGTTGCCGGGGCGTACTGATCAACTCGTGATCGCGATACGCTTTCTGAACACCGTTATTGTGACGCTGTACTCCTCACTTATGTGCATCATTTCAGAGGTACCATCGTATGAAGGACAAGGTGCGAGAGCATCAAGCAGCCTAGGTGGAAAACTCTTGGAAAGCGAGGATTTTGGCGATTGGTGCCTGCCGCTTCCCCAGTCAAATCCTATGGAGCACGTGTGGCGTGCATTCAGGAGAGCTATTGTAGCGCATCCCCATGCGCCAACAACTGTCCAGCAGTTGTCAATCGCGGTCTTCAAGGAATGGATCGCTTCTCCACAAGAACTCTTAACCAACCTTGTGGCCAGTATTGGAGCACGTAGCAGAGCATGCTTTGCAGTCCGTAGTGTTCATACACCCATCAAGAACCAGCTCCTCTCTTTTGAATGTCTACCATGAGTTGGAGAAGCCTCACCTATCGACCGCTTCAGACAGGGTATTTGCAGAAAAATGTCTTTTCCAATCGCCCCTTTGCGCTTTTCTGTTAGTAACTCTCTGCACTGTACCGCAACATTTACTTCTATATATGTGCCAAATTTGGTCCACCTAGGTTAACTAGCAGTGAGATATCATGTGAAAGTTACTTCCGTCTTTCCGTTTTGCACGCCACTGTAGTGCCAGCGTAAGGACTAGGTAGAGAGTCCGACCAATGAGGACCTCGCTCCCAGCGAAAATTTTTAAAAGTCACACAAGAATTGAAAACCACGCTGAACGTCACCCGGATGTGGCCCCTACGACTCGTGTCCAAGTTCTATTGATTTTTGTTCAATTGAGGTAGGCGAGGACTACCGAGAGGTGAACGGATTAGCGGAATAGCTACTTCGACATGGGACTGTAAACCTAGAATCGCTAACCTGTAGAGTGGCTGCTGACCTGATGCGGTGGTACGCAAAAACATCCTAGTCCTATGCCTTCAGGAGACACGATGCAAGAGAGGGTCAGGGGAATTCAATCAGGTCAATCTCTATTACAGTGGCGAAGACACTCTTACATATTACGAGGCTATTCTCTTTAAGCTGACAACATGCTCCGAAAGCGAGCAGAGAAGAACTTCAGAGCAAGCATAAATGGCAGTAAGAACTGGCCGAAGGTGCGGTCCGGGTGAAGGTCGCAAAGACACCATCTTCCGGAGCCCTGGAAAAATAGGCGATCGTATACGGTTATGTAAATGCATCCAAAAGGAAGGAGGTATTGCGATATCTTGGGAGCAATCCCGCGTCCGACGGTGTGGCGAATCATGAAGCAAAAGCACTGATCAGCACCAAATTGATAAAATGGAGGGAGTCCGCGGAAATCCTGCGAGCGAAGGTGCTCAAAAGCGCTCAAAGGAAAGGTGTACCGACAGTGGTAAGGCCTGCGATGCTATACGGCAGCGAGTGCTGGTCATTGAACAAGATTCACGAAAGGCAGCTTCACTCCATGGGAAAAAAATTTGAGTGCGGCTGGAAGCGGCAAGTAAGCGACCACGAGGTGCCTCAACGACGAGGGGAAGCAACGTCATCAAGGAGGACCTCACTGAGTTCAGGGCCACGGTAGCCACGGCAAAAGATGCCTTGGACAGTTCAATGTGGCGAAGACTAGCAAAGACTGCGGACTTTACGACGGTGGGGACTAACGCAAGACAGAAGAATATATCAAGATCTTGTGCGAACTGACCCTAGGCAATTAACCGATGGGAAAACCGTTTCGGTTTTAACAGCTTTTCGAGTCTGGGGTAGAGAAAATGCAGTAGCTTTTTCTGAATGTGGATGTTCTCAATTTTGGTTCGAGGTGCATCGTACCAAGGGAAACCGATCTTCAATCTACGATACAAAAGCCATGACTCCTGTAGTAGCAGCCACATAAAGCCCCTAGGAAATTCCCAGGAATGCACTTCTGAAAAAACAAACAATGCATCTAAACATATTTATTCGGTCGAAATGCTTTGAAAAAGCACACCAAAGAGCTATAAAATGTTCTAGCAAATCGACACGACACAAAACTGAAAATTGTCTGTTGACTGCTGCCTGTCGGCAAGTCGAAAATTGGCACAGTCAGTTTGAATTAGCAACCGTTGACCTAATGGTTTTCTTCCAACCACTCCTCCAACATTGGGCACTCCATGACAGTCTCGTTCCGATCTAACTGATACACGTCTCCTCTCGTTTTACCGTAATGCACTTCGTCGACACGTACGCTTGTGCCCGTCGAAGGATTAATCGAGCAAGGTCCATCCTAAAAAGAAGCGTATTACACGGTGGTGTAATGTCTCCCAAAGATTGAAGGAGATAATGCACACAGATGGACAAAATTCTAGAGTTCATTTGCTCGGTTGACATCAGAGGAAAGAGCACTATTCCACCGAGAGTGATTATTGGCTGGTGGAACTCCTAGTGTAAAGAATTTTTATAGGCACTACAATTCAAGCACGATTACCCGCAGGGTTCCTAAAAAAGAACATCGAGGATGGTGTTACAGAAAATGCAAGACAAAACAGAATCCTGACGGTGTTCCCATGACGCATTCACCGCTACGAGAGCATTTTATGACTCAGCGTGATGATGCTCGTCGTGCGAAATAGCTCTTACATTAACCAATAGTCCCACGTCAGTATTCAGGGGATCTGATTCGGTCATAAAAAGGAGGGACACAGTCACAGGGGTCGAGTAAAAAAGCGGCAGCAACTGCAAAGCCCGGCACGTGATTCATCTGAAGGGAAGCAACTTTTGATTGCTAGCACAAAGGAACAATTAACCTTGAAGGAGATGACGTAAACACAGGACGGATCTTCGTAGCACATCTTCATGCAATCTCCCGTGTCATGCTTGACATTCGGCGCATTATCGGAGGTATGTTGGAATATTTATCACTGCGGAAGGTGGAAGTTGTCTGAACGTGCAAAGCAGAGCCGGAGTCACCTGAAACAGACGCCGAGAAAGAAATTACTGCAATTGGCTGTGCTAAAAAACTGTGGTTATTTTTCGATTCGCTGCTTTGGGCCTGTTGACTGTTCCTGTGCTAGGGCAGCGCGCCGCTGTACGTCTGCGCATCTCTCTCACAAAAGATGCAAGAGCACGGCAAGTGCAGTAATGACAAAGATGATCCTTTCTGGACCAGCTTTGTCGATGAGCTCTAGCACATCTACAACCGACGTGGGCGGGAACGACCCTACATGTCTAAGGGAAAATGGAAACACAAATTATAATGGTACGGCACTTTATCTATCTATTAGCTATCTATTTATCTGCCTATTAGCTTATGTGATGTCTTAGCTGGTCTCGAAGCTCTCGTAGGGTAGCGAGACATTTGGTCGGATAAATCATGAATTGGTTTCCACCTTTTTAGGCTCCGAAGAAGGCGAAATCGCCTAAGCCATCGGAATCACATCGTCGACATCGTGTACTGCTATGTCAAATGAACTCACACAAGTCATAATCATGCCTCCAGCTCGGAAAGCGGAGAGCTGGCGTCGCGTTGGTAGGCATCTCCTCTTAACACATTGACGACCGCGCGCGTTTTGGCTTTTTTGGCCGTGTGGGACCGGGCCGATTTTGCGAGCGCGACCGCCGCACCTCGGATCCGTGAATTTTTAATTGATAACTTTTTAAAGCACAGTGGTACAAAACCATTTCAGCAATATTCAATGCGTAGAAGGTAATCGAGATGTAGTGGCAAAATTCCGATCAAAAGAACGTGTAATGGTAATGAAAAGGAAACCTTCAGTCCTTTTCTCTGTAGTGGATGCCAAAACTATTTTCGATGTGGATGTGAAGTGAAACATATATTTCTATCCCTTTAGTTTGTATTTACTTTCACTACCTTTCTCACTGACATGTTCATGAGAATAGGAAGAAAACGAGGAATGAACCGAGCTGCCAATTCCGCTGTGCTTGAAAAACTTCTGCTAAACTGGAGCATATTTGATCATACCGTGACCCATGTCGTTTACAGTTATGTTATGTTGTAATCCATAGAATAGAGACAAGCAAATTGGGAAGAATCCCGCATACGCTAGAAAAAGGGATGACAAGGGTGAGACGCGGTAACCGCGTCTCAATGTCCAACGAGGTGCGCAAAGTGAGACGCGTTACCGCGTCTCAATGTCGTCAATGTGTTATAGATCACAACCATCCAGAACACGATTTTACACCTATGATTCTCCTTCCCAATTTGATTTTAGTCCAAAAAGAGTTTCGTTGACAGTCGGAGTGGTCGTCAAATACTATTACTAGAGAGGCGGACATTGAACACGGTAAAAGACAGGTTCTCCTGCTGAAATTAATCGCTGTAAAATTAATAGAGTGTTTACCAGGTTGTATAGAGATAGCCATTGTTTCTTCGCCTTCATAATTGCTAAGAATTCTTACCTATGTACGAATTCAAAGAAAGACATCAAAATTGCTGTGATTAGAGGGAAAGGTTAAGGAGGGGAATTCATGAGTGTTTTCTTTTCGCTATCACTTCATAAACAGCTTCCAGACGAGCATTAGTGCTCTTTGGGTGAGAAACTTTGATACAGGAACACATTACTGCCTACTTCACACCTGCCAAGAGTTATCTGAGCACTCCAATTTCAAGCAAATTTCGGCCACGCTTCTCTCAAATAACTTTCTCCATATATTAAAAAGATTCTTTTGATACTTCCAGGATTCAATGAAGCACACATCTTACAATTTTGTGAATAGCTTTAGGAGCTTCAGAATGGTGGGACATACGACAGAATAAAGGCAGCACCATAACAGTCCAAACATGGTGCTGTGGTGCTAGTTCTCATGTCCAAGTGAGAATATTGAGATAGAAAATAACCAGCAGTCGGAAGGAGGAGTACAGTAGCGGTCAAAAGTTTGGAAACTTTTTTATTTTTGATCTAGCGTAGCCGATAGACAATGAAATTGTCCCGAATTCACATATTATATACAGAATCAAGTGTAGATTACGATGAGCAACATAATTTTTTGAAAACGAGAATCGCATTTGAAAAATACGAATTTTTATAAGAAATGGCGCGTCAAAAGTTTGGAAACTTCTCAATTCCAAAGCGAATTCGGCAAAATAGCTCTCGAATCCACATGATAAATTAGTTATTCGATGAGTAGCTTAAATTTCTATGTGTTTTTATTGACATGGAGTTGATTATAAAATAATTTTAGGATTTTTAAGTCGAACCCTACACACTGTGAACTAAATCACATTGTTTGGTGGGATTCTTAACTGGAATGTGGGTTGAGCGACATGCCAGCTTCTTCCGTGGATGTAGAACTCAATTAGACTTCAGATCTTGACTTGGTCGCTTCATAACAGCTTCTTGTCCTGGGTTCAAGGAAGGCGGCAGTCAGGGTCAACCCTGCGTTGCGCAAATTTCAAAATTTTACGACCTAAGGGGTGTCGGTACGACCCCCTCTTGGGGGCTTCGGG